AAAAAAAAAAAAAAAGGCACCTGTGGCTCATGCCTGTAATCCTAGCTACTCAGGAAGCTGAGATCTAAGGATCATGGTTCAAAATCAGCCCAAGCAGGAAAGTCTATAAAACTCTTATCTCCAATAAACCACCAATTACCTGGAAATGGAGCTGTGGCTTAAGTGGCAAAGCGCTTAGCTTTGAGCCTCAACAGAGGCTTAGGAGAAGTGCCCAGGGGCTGTCACCAAAAAAAAGAAAGAACAAGAAAAAGGGACTAGGAAAACTTCAAGCTTCACTTTTTATTCAGTATTGCCTACATTCCTTACATTCGCACAATTTCTTTCCAGTACCAATTCTGTTTTTGAAGTGAACTTAGTACAGAGATTTTTCTTCAGACGCCTTACATTTTAACAAATCCATCTCCAGTGTGTAGGCTGCGACTGTGTTGCTAGAAGAGCAAGGAAGGCTTTCCCGATCTTGAAGCACAGGCCTTCTACACAACGTGAGCGCTTTCGTGCCTTAGAACTGCGCTGGGAGAGCCAAAGGCCTTCCCACAAAACTTACACTTATAAGGCCCCTCGCCCGTGTGCCGTATCATGTGTCCTTGAAGGCCTGAGTGAGAAATGAAGGCTTTCCCACATTCCTTACATTCATAGGGCTTCTCTCCCGTGTGAGTCCTTTCGTGTTTCCGAACGGCAGTGGAACAGATGAAGGCTTTGCCACAGTACGAACAGGAGAAAGGCTTCTCTCCAGTGTGCGTTCTTTCGTGTTTCGTAAGGGCGCTGGGCGAGTTGAAGACTTTCCCGCACTCCTTACATTGATAAGGCCCCCCTCCAGTGTGCTTGATCATGTGACCCCGGAGGCCCGAGAGCGACCGGAAGGCCTTCCCGCACTCCTTGCAACCATACGGCTTCTCCCCCGTGTGGGTCCTCTGATGTCTTCGAACGGAGCCTAAGCAATTGAAGGCTTTCCCACACTGCTCACACTGGTACGGCTTCTCGCCCGTGTGAATCCTTTCGTGGATTCTAAGGGAGCTGGGATACTGCAAGCCCTTTCCGCACACGTTACACTTATGTGGCCCGCTGCCAGCATGCGTGATCACGCACTCTTCAAGGCTAGTGAGGGAGAGGAAGGCTTCTTCGCGCTGGGCACCTTCATAGGCCTTGTCTCCAATGGGGCTCCTGAGCTGGAAAGGGTAGTAATAATTTAAGGTGTTCTCACACTGTGCGCATCGATTGGGCTCTTCTGTATATTCCTGATCTTCCTGAGATTCCTGCCGCGGGGGACAGCTCGCGGGACCTCTCAGGGCTGATGGAGGCTTGAAGATGGCGCCACACATGCTGCATGCACGGGCTGCTGCCCCCAGAAGACTGCTCTTCTTCAAATCATCTGCGATCCGGCTGGCGCGCTCGGTACACTCAGTACCTTCTTCGCTTTCGCAGAGTGTCTCGGCAATATGAATGCTGTGGAAAAAAAGGAAATCGAATCCGAATGTGTGGAGAATGGCTTGTTGCTGGGCGCTGGTGGCTCACGCCTGTCATCCTAGCTGCTCAGGAGGGTGAGATCCAAGGATCATGGTTCAAACTAGCCTGGGCAGGAAAGTCAGACTCTGCAATTAACCACTAGAAAACCAGAAGGAGCCCTGTGACTCAAAGTCAAAGAGTGCTAGCCTTGAGCAACAGAGCTCAGCAACAGCATGTAGGCCCCAGGTTCATGCCCCATGAACAACTACAACAAGAATGGCTTGTTACTAGGCTCTGGTGGCTCATGCCTGTAATTCTAGCTACTCAGGAGGCTGAGATCTGAGGATCGTAGTTTGAGACTTTTATCTCAACCACCAAAAATACCCAAAATAGAGTTGTAGTTCAAGTGGTAGAGTGCTAGCCTTAAGCAAAAAAATCCCTCAGGAACAGTGCCCAATCCCTGAGTTCAAGCCCCAGGACTGGCATACATGCATACATGTGCGCACGCGCATGCGCGCACACACACACACACACACACACAAAGGGCTGGGAAGGTGGCTCAGTGGTAGAGCGCTTGCCTTGCATGCATGAGGCCCTGGGTTCAATTCCTCA